GCCGGGGGAACGCGCCCAACAGCGCCCGATCACACAACGCCGGGCCATACTTCCGCAAGCGACTCCCTTCTTCCACGGGATGGCAATGAGCGAGGCCCGCAGCACGTGGCATCGTCGGGGCCCGCCTCAGAAACTCGTGGCTGGACGTTCCCTTGCTGCATGCGGCTGCGGGCGCTCTTTCCTCAAACGCTGTATTGGCCTGGAACGAGCACCCGCGTTGTGGCGAGCGCTGGTCCCGACTAGAGCGCGCTCGCCAGCACAGAGTCGCTGCATGTCGATCGGCTTGCCGCCTTGCTACCTGCACTACGAGGGATCCGCAGAGGCCGATGCACTCAGCAGTGCTCTTGGCAGGGAAGGCGCCGCAAACCTTCCTCTCCGTCAAGCACTTTCTTGCCTCGTGGACTGCGACGGCTATATACCTGCGCTGGCCCAGGCCGCGCTACTCGAAGCGTACGGCAGACACACAGTCGCGATTGAGGCAGCAGCCCTAGCGGATGCGTTTCGTGCCCACGCGGGTGAGCGGCCCGTCCCCAACCGAGCCCAGCCCGTGCGACCAACGCCGTGCACGCGCAACGTCGAGTCATGACCGCAGGGACGCCGCCGTGCTGCCGGACTCCCCAACCTCTGAGGTGCCCGAGTGCCCTGCTTCCTTCCCCTCACCATCCTCACCCTGTAATCTGAGGCCCCCCACCAGGGACGCGCTTGACGACGTCGACCTATTTGACGAACTTCGCCGGCCCTTGCCGACGCTGCAGACGGTTCCCGTTTTCGTGCGAGCTGGCGCGCGCCGGGCGCTCGCCAGCAGCCTTCAATTATCCGGGCAGCCTACAGCGGACCGCCTGATGACCGCGTCCGCGCACGCGCGTGGGAGCTGGGACCCGTGTCATCGCTGCAGAGGCAGGCCCCGCTCCGCCTGGAATCGCGGAACTAGGCGATGTGCAAGCCCGAAGCCCAACGAGGCGTAGTTGTGCTCGGTTCGCCGTTGGGGCACCCGGCCTTCGTCCAGGCATGGGCTGAAGAAAGGCTGCGCGCCGAACGCGAGCTTCTCGACCAACTGCCCAACTTCCGGACCTTCAGTGCGCGTGGCTGCTTTTGCTTATGTGCGCCTCGCCGCGCGCTTGCCATGCCATTCGCACCATGCCCCCCTCGGCGTTTGCGGCGTACGCCCGGGGACATGACGATGCCATCTGGACGACGCGGCAGAACATGCTCGGCGGAACAGGCGACGCGGACGCGGCCCAGGCACGGCAAATTGCGGCCCTCCCAGGCGCGCTGGGCGGCCTTGGATTGCAGTCAGCCGGCTGGGCCTCCTGGGCCGACGCGTTGCCCGCCATACGCGCACGCCTGCCGTGGTGCGCGGACAATTACGTGCAATTACTTGAGTCCGAGGTCGGGGACGACGCGCACTGTCTCGCAGAGGCAGCGCATGCGCGTCGCACCTGAAAGGACCAAGGCTGGAGCAACTGCCCCACGTGGAGCATGCTCCTGGACGGCGCTCGCCCCGCCCCACCTGAGGCGCCAGGTGCCGGAGACTGGCCGCATGGCTGGCAGTACCACGCATCGCGGACGCTTACCGTACACTCTCGCGATCGCGTGCTTTTGCCATCCTTGCCGCCCAGGTCGCGCGCACTTCTTCGCTCTCAGGCGGGACCGGCATGCCGGTGCATGGCTCACCGCCATACCGTGCGACGAAGCAAGGCGCATCCCGCCACAAACGATGCAAATTGCCCTGCGGCGTCGCCTACGGCTGCCTCTACCTTTGCCCCGAACGCTGTGGCCCCAACCCGGGATGTGGTGGCGTCGTCGACCCTTATGGCGACCATGCCCTTGCTTGCCCGAGGACAGGCTTGTTGGCCAGGGAGAGTGCCGACGGGGCCGTCGGAGCCACCGGACTGGGCGTTTCCAGCAGATCGCCAAGGTCTTGTGATGCTCGGCGCGCCTCCTGGCAGTGACGCCTTCCTCCAGGCCAACCTGCGCGCCAAACTTGTCGACCATGCGGCCCTGCTAACCAGGATCCCGACAGTGCCCGACCCGCCTGGTCGCTGCTGCGTATGTGCGCGGCGCCACGCAGCAACTACACGGGCCTCACCACCGGACGCGAAAAGGGAGTTTGCCCGTGGAACGCTGCTGTGATGGCATGCCTGGGACGCCTCCTCGGCAATGACGAACCCACTATCGGCGCAGCTTCCTCTCGAGTGGCGGCGTTCTGGGGGTCGGCCGACGCGCTCCCCGTTTTGCGCGCCAGGCACCCCCGCTCCGCAGCCGAAATGCTGCAACAGGCCGTCCTCGTGGCGCAAGGCGGTGTGGTGGCGGCACCTAGCGTGGCGGCTTTTGCTCACGCCGCCCAATCGCTGCAGACGCACGGTTTTGATGTGCCAGCTGGCGGACCGGGTGCCGTTACTGCGCTCCCACTGCTGCAGTCCTGCTGCTCCGCCACCTGCGCGCGCCTTTGCCCCATGCCCCACGCCGTTGCAGATGCGGCGGGGAACTTGACGCCTTGGGAGACCAGCGCGCGGCCTGCCTTGGGGTTGTCCAGCTCGCGCCGCCCTCAGACGTAGGTGCAGATGTTGCAGTTGCATGATCTTGTCGGTCATTGTAGCAGTGGATGGCCTTCCATTTTCTGTACCATTCTTTGCTTCGGCTGGCTTCGCACCGCCCTCAGAAGTAGGCCCCACGGCTGGCGTCCTGGGTCCACATGGCACGCCCCTGGAACGGGCGGCCGCGCAGGTCTGGGGGCTAGGGTGGCCAGCAACGCCATGTCCCGGATGTTTGAGGTGCTGGCCAACAGCCTCCCCTTGTACCAAGGCGCGCAAGTCGCCGTTGACACCACTCTCGTAAGTCCGGTATCGCGGGACGGCACGGCGCGCCCAAGGACAGACCGGACGCCCGGGGCGGCCGCCTCCGACACGGCACGGCCAGGACACGTACCCGGAGCTCCTGGCAGCTCGCCGTTGCAGGCTGGTAGTCATCGGCCGTGAGGTGGGTGGGAGAATGGATGCAGAGACCGTCACCTTCTTGCGCCAACTCGCCGTGGCCCGGGCGCGCAAGGCACCCGCTCGTTTGAGCCCTCCCGCACGCCGGGCCAGTATCCACAGATGGACTGCCCATGGACCCATGGCTCCTGGCCCCATGGTCGCATAGCTCTTTTAGCTGACTTTAAAGGTCCGCCCCCTCCGCTCTTCCCACCCGCCCACCCCGCCCATGGCTCCTGGCCCCATCCCCTGGCCCCATGCCCCTCCCCGCCCGCTCCGCCCCCTCCGCTCTTCCCGCCCGCTCCGCCCATGGCTCCTGGCCCCATGGTCGCATAGCTGACTTTATTAAAGGCCCCATGCATGCCCGCCCGCTCCGCCTCCGCGGCCCAGCGCAGCTCGAGTTGCCGCTGGCGGAGCACGGTGAGGGTGACCCGCCGCCGCTGGCGGACGCACGCGGGGTGGAACTCATCCCGGACAGCCGGTTGCGACGAGAGGCAGACCAACCTCCTGCGGCTTGAAAAAGGTGCGAGAAAAAAGGACAGGAGAGTCAACCACTCTCCAAGTGCGAAGGCCTCACAGCGCAGTGCCAGTCTTGCAGGGGGGATGCGCGACTCACCTGCGGTGCGGTGGAGAAGCATGCGGGGGAGCAAGAAAGAAGAGCTTCCAGCCTCGAAGCTCTTGCTGCGGTGAGGTTCGCTCTGAGATTGGCGCGACTCCGATGTCAGATCGGCGCGCGGACGATATCACGAACCTGCATCTGGGCGATCTTGGTTTCGCCGCGGGTCGCATCCATCGGATACAGATTTGCAGCTTCCCAAGGCTCAACTTTAGCGCGGCCTTGTTGGCGGCAGCTCCAGGAGCTGACGCTGTTGTTGGATGACAACTATAGCTAGCCCCGATCAAGGTTCGAATTTGAGAAAGTGTTCGATCATGTTCGATCTGGACTCAGCACTGTTGTTCGTGGTCGGACGGTTCTCACGACAAGTAGGCAAAAAATTGACAACTGGGCTGGGGAAGATGTTCGCGTGTGTCAACATTGCGCGTGAAGCTATCCGCAGAGGCGGCAAACGTCGGCAAACCACGACGTGTCGAAACGGACCTGGAAGTCCGATGCATGTGAAGGGAAAGTGCCGTGGCCAAGTACGGGGTGTAACATCCTGGGACCTGAGTTGGCCCAATGCGTCGTGCAGCTCGCACAGTAAAAAAATATACAGTCGGCAGAATCCCAAGTATGGGTGGGGAGCGCCGACAGCCCCACAATTTCGAGAGCGAACTTTGGATCGCATGCCCGCCTTAGCGGCACGAATGATTCCCCGCCTTAGCGGCACGAATGATTCCGCAGCATTCCTCGGATATTCCGACAAAAAGTTCTGAAGCGCACCAGTGCAACAACTTGTGGACACATCCGAGTCGATCCATGTCAACAGCAACACGTCCAACACACAATTGATGGTCGCAAAGCATTCAACTGAGGAGTTTACTCAACCCCGAGGCCATTGCGCTCCACATCTCAACAACACAACGCGCAAAAACTCCACGTGGCCATTTGTGTGAAACAATCGCCATTCCCAAGCTCTCCGAAAGTACTTTCCGCTCGGGTTGGGGAAGTTTTTGGTCCGATCAGCTTGATGTTATTTGTTTCGCGAGGCGAGCTGCAACGTGCCCTCGCAGCGCAGCGTGGCTGTAACACCCGCCTCTTCCGTTTTTGTAATATTTGTTTCGAGAAGCTGCCAGTATCGCCCAGATTGGGATCCATGGACGAGCTTACGTAAAGTTTGGCTTGTGAAGGCTTCAGGGTTTCGGGAGGACTTGGGAGGGACATGGCAAATCGCAAGCCAATTAACATGCTTGCCCTGGCGTTGTGGCGATATCTTCGTGATGCCTGTTGAAAAGTCACCATCAAGGTACTGCATGTACATGTTAAGGTTTTTTGACCCGTGTCCTTTGGGTGTTGGTATGTGGTAGCAGAACGGCCCCGTGCCCAGGTTGGAGATTCCGTCCCCGTGCTTGGAGAATTCCACTGCGCAGATGCTCTACGCGCCAAAGACGGCGCCGAACATTCCAGGCTGGAGCACCACAGGGCCAAGCAGCTCAGTTCGGCCACGTGTCAACGCAGAAATTTCCAAGGTGCCACCGATACCACGGATCTGAACTGCCGCTATGGCAATCCGCAAATGTGGCTGCATTGCGGCGTGTGTTGCGGCATCCGCCCGCATTTCAACTGGGTGATTGGCACATGCGAGGACCCCGCTTGCGTGAACGTTGGACATCCAAAATGGGACATTAACTAGTATTTGTACGCATGCCATTTGCCTGAGAGGAAACGCAAGGCACCGGTCAGTTCTGCTGGAATTTGCCTGATTGCGTGTCGAGCGGGTCCCCGAAGATCAACTACGTGGCGACATACCAATACAATGGCGAGACGCGTGGCCGGTTGGTTAGAGGAACAAAATTAAGAAATAGGTGTTTAGCTGTTGCCAACCTGCTGTTACTGTGCTCGATGTGTCTGTAACAGCGCCCAGGGAATTCGTTCTCATGGAGGATTCGACGGTCGGCGAAATCGACGAGGAAGGCCTGTGGAAGCAAGTCGGGTTTGCCCACGACAAATTCGTTCCGGCACGAACCATGTCAATGTGTTGTTGCCCAGCAGAAGCGCTTTCACTCTTTGAGCCAGGTGTTAGTGGCAACTTTGGGGTCGGCACTGGCTTTTTCGCACCTGGGTCGCGAGATGTGGAAGTTTACGAACATAAGGGACCCCTCCATATAGCCCCTCCATATAGCCCCCCCCCCCCCCTTCCCGCCCAAAAATAGTAGGATTCCCTTAGGGACCCCAATAAAGGTACCCCCCCTAATCTATCCTAATCTTACAAAGCAATATGCTTTTGCAATTTGCCAGCATTCGTGCGTGCCCTGCATGTTTGAGTCGGGAAAAGGCTCACAACACTTCTTTCCGATGGCGTGGCGGCGACTGGACGACAAAGCCGCCGGCATTGCATTTACACAGTCCGTGAAGACGATTCCGTGAGAGTGAGAATGTCTGATGCTTCATGTCGGACCGACCATCCCCACGAGAGATACGGTGCTCCATGCCGAGGTACGCGCCTTGGGCAAAGGGTTTGGGAACCGATGGCCCGCGCAATCTGGCTGCAGGAATGCGCGCCCGAGATCTTCGCTGAACTCCTCGTAGTCCGACATGCTCGCCTCATGTAGCGGGGGCAGGGCGGGGGGATGTGATAAACTTGGCATGCAATCGAATGTGCACCTGACATCGTCGACATGTTCAAGTTATGAACTTCAACACGCTGAACAGCACCCGGCAAATCCAAGTTGATCCCAAAAGCCGAAGACGCCGTCCAGAGTCCAATCAGGTGGTGTGACGCCGCCGGCTGGTCTCTGGATCTTGAGCGCTGAAAACTTTTATTTCGGCGCTTTTTACATGCTCTCACAGCTGGGCATCAATCTCGAGGGACAAGGAGGGGTTTCGATTGGAATCGGTTTCGAGGGATCTTGTTTGCTTGTGTCGGTCGCAACTTACTGCTCGGCCAAGCTGAAGGCCATACGTGCTGTGGCAGGTACCGTGGGCTCTGGTACCAGCACGTTTTGAGATTTTGCCCCTTGCACTTATTCTTGATATCCTCACACTATAGACACCAACGAAACGACTCCGACGCGCAGCCTTTGTGAACCAGACTTGGAACCTTAAAGAGCCCCCAATCTCGACGAAAAAAAGACGCTGGTCCCCGAAGCGCAGGAAACCCGACGGGCACCAATTGTTGGATGTGGGAGTTGGATCCAGTAGAGGCCCGCGCCGCGGAATGGATGTTTTGGAGTTGGGGGGGGGGGGGGGGGGGGGGGGGGGGCAGTTTGGGGTTAATGTGTTTAGGGTTTGTTTAGGGTTTTTAGGGTTTAGGGTTTAGGGTTTAGGGTTTAGGGTTTAGGGTTTAGGGTTTAGGGTTTAGGGTTTAGGGTTTAGGGTTTAGGGTTTAGGGTTTAGGGTTTAGGGTTTAGGGTTTAGGGTGTAGGCTTACAGGGCCATTCGGGGCGTTCGGCGGCATGTTTGTTTCAGGAGATGTCATCGGAAGCACACTTTTCATCCCTACACGGCATGGTGGTCTAGAGTTTTTGGGTGAGTGTGGTGAAGGGATGCTGGCAGTTGAAGCCAGTGGCCACTTGTGAGCAGCGCGCTCAGGGGCATGCAGGAGATCACCCCCAGCACATCCACGGTCACCCTCTAACCCTCAGAAATCTATAATGTGCCCTAACCATGGTAAATAAACCCTGTACTCCCGACAAACCTGACAAACCAGCTCCATGAGCCCTGAATCCTCTGAAATTAGACTTCTTGACCTGAGTGACCTTACTATCCCGACTACCCTGATTATATAGTATTACGATAAAGCCTTAGTAACCCCATAATCCTTACTAGCCTTCTTGCCCTTATGATATATCGCCTTTAAACCTCATTGACTTGATTAACTCCTTCGAGCTAAAGCCGACAAGCTCTACAAACGTATAAGCACCATGAGCCCTAAACCTCAAACCCGAAACCCGAAACCCGAAACCCGAAACCCTAAACCCTAAACCCTAAACCCTAAACCCTAAACCCTAAACCCTAAACCCTAAACCCTAAACCTTAAACCCTAAACCCTAAACCCTAAACCCTAAACCCTAAACTAAGTGAGGGGTCGCTTCCGTCGAGCGACAGACCCCGAACGCTCGGCCGAGGGCCTTACAGCCCGAGCGCCAAAGCGAAAAGAGAAACGGAAAGGTGAGGGTTAAGCCTCACCGTCTGTCCTGGACAGGCCAACGGACATCGGCCTTTTTTACGACAACGTCAGTACTCGGATAAGGGATGGCCGGCACCCAGACCACCTTTAGCGTAGCTAAAGTATAACCCCAAATCGTAACCCTTTGCCTCTGGAGGTCGGTTCAGGGTTTGGGCCCCCCCCCCCGGGGCCCCCTGGTCCCTGGTAGCTGGATTCCTGGACCAGGAGGCTGGCGAGGGGTCCAGGCAGGCTGACTGCTCAATTTCGGGGTTTTTGGTGGCGGCCCCCCCGGGCCAAGGGCCCCCCGGGCCAAGGGCAAGGGCCCCCCAGGCCACAACCCCCCGCCCCAAGGACCCCCCGGCCAAACGCCCCCCAGGCCAAGGGCCCCCCAGGCCAAGGGCCCCCCAGGCCAAGGGTCTCCCGGCCAAGGGCCTCTGCCGGGGCAAGGACTTCCAGGCCAAGGGCCCACCCAAGGGTCCCCCGGACCAAGGGCCCCCTGGCCAAGGGCCCCCGGGCCAAGGGCCCCCCCAGCCAAGAGAGCCCCCTACCGACCCAAGGGCCCCCGGAGCCAGGGTCCCTCCGAACCAAACAACCCCCGGGCCAAGGGCCCCCCGGGCCCCGGGCCACCCACCAAGGCCTCCGCGGCAAGGGCCCCGCAAGCCAAAAGGGCCCCCCAAACCAAAGGGCCCCAAGCCAAGTTTCGGGCCAAAAGGGCCCAGGGCCCGTCGGGCCAAGGGCCCCCCCCAGGCCAAGGGCCCCCCACAAAGGGCCCCAAGGGGCCCGGGCCTTCCGGGCCAAGGCCCCCCCGGGCCAAGAACCCCCCGAGCCAAGGGCCCCGATTCCCGGACCAAGGGCCCGGGGCAAGGCCCCTAAGGAACTGAAGGGCCCGCAGACGCCCTGCCCAAACACCCCTGCCAAGGGCCCCCCCACTAGGGCTCAGCCAAGGGGCCCTCGGGCCAAGGGCCCCCCCGCACCAACACCCTCGCAGGGAATCGCACGCTCAGGAAGCCCCCAAGAACCGCCAAGAGCCACCAAAAGGCTTCAAAAGCTTCAAAAGGCCCACTAAAAGAAGGGGACCACAAGATTTGTCCGTGCCCACAATGAAAAATGCGATTTTTGAATATTGAAAACGATGGTTTTAGGTACCCTTGCCCGCAATGAAAAATGTTCATTTTTAGTACTGAAATCGATGGCTCCCCCCCAAATCAGCAAGGACCTCTACGGGCCCTGACGCGCCGAAGGACCGAGGCTACTAAAAACCCTAACACCGCAAAAGCCTGCGAAGGCCTTCAAGCAAATAAGGGCCTCTACGGGCCCTAACTTGCCGAAGGCCCGAAAAGGGCCGAGGCTACCCCGAACCCGAGCTTAAACCCTAGCGATTGAAATACTCATTTGCGAAAAATTCATGAATAGGTTCCCTGACCTTTAAATGAATGAAGCCTCTACGGCCCCTGACACGCCGAAGGTCCGAACAAGGCCCCGAGAGACCCCAAGAGCCACCAAAATGCTTCAAAAGGCTTCAAAAGGCCCCCTAAAAGAAGGGGGATCCCAGGATGCCCGTACCCGCAATGAAAAATGCGATTTTTTGGTAGTGAAATCGATGCTTAATTGAAGCCCTTAAAGAAGGGGAATCCAGGAGCAGACACAAAGGGTTTCCCTGACCTTCAAATAAATAAGGGCCTCTACGGGCCCTGACACGCCGAAGGCCCGAAAAGGGCCGAGGCTACCCCCAACCCCAGCTTAAACCCTAACAGCGCAACTTTAAAACATCAAAGCAAGCATCAAAGCACAAGAAAGTAAATTACATAAACCCTAAACCCTAATAGAGTATAGTTTGGGTGGCCGGGGTGGGTTGACGGGCAACGCGAGCGCGCGGCCCGGGGTGTTTCACACCCGAGCGCGCGCCCTCCCCTGACACACCCTAAACCCTAAACCCTAAACCCTAAACCCTAAACCCTAAACCCTAAACCCTAAACCCTAAACCCTAAACCCCTTCGAGCCCTTGTTCAGGGCACGGCGGGCTGGAGCCCGGGAGAGCCTCTGCCGGGCAACCTGAATATGCTCTACAGCACGGAGACCTCTTGGCAGCAATGAGAGGAGTCTAGGGTTTCGGGTCGAGAGTCTAGGATTTAGGGTTTAGGGTTTTAGGGTTTAGCAAAAAAAGGCTTAGGGTGGGACGAGGCTTGGTGTAGTTCGGAAATACATCCTGGAGGTCGCCATGATCTCGATGTCAGGAAAGGTGGATGGCATTCCGAAACAAGACAACAAGCCCTGAACAGCACTCTGAACCTCCAAGTAGGGCCAAAGGGCCGAAAGGCCGGACCCCCTGGCCTCCCTCGCTGAGGAATGCGCAGGCGTCGGGCTGCATGCCAATCTCCTACACCTCCCGCCAGGCTCTGGATGGGGAGTTTCTGCTTCACACCACCACTCGTGGTGTGCCGCATACAGGGGATTGCGCCATGTATCGCCATGTGGTAGCTTGTGTCAGCGCATTTCGTGACCGAACGCACAATCCGATGAGTACACCAAGTTGGCGAAATCCCCTAAACCTGCACTCCCTAAACCCCCCTTTCCTCTAAACTCCCTAAGCCTAAACCCTAAAGCCTGGAAACTCCCCCTAACCCCCGTAATTGCCCGCCATCGCTCAGCGAGGCGAACGGCATGCGAATGGAGTTCAAGTTCCCAGAGGCCCCCACACGGCCGAAAAAGGCATAGGGTTCCTAGAGTTCCTAGATTTTCCATGGTTCCCATGGTTCCTAGGGTTCGTAGGGTTCATATCTAAGGGTAGTTTCATGGGCCCTTAATATGGTCCCTTCTTACCTTCCTTAAAAGGGTTCTGATGTCTGGGCCCTTGGGTTGTATAGGGCATGGAAGGGGTTTATACGGGGTCCGATTCTAAGGGCCCATACTAAGGGACCGTGCAGCTACCCCATGACATAGGGTAGGCAAAAAAAAAAGGGTCCCCATCTAAGTTTAAACCGGGGCGGCTGGCAACAGAAAACCATGCCCAAAACCCCTGAACCCCACACGGGTGTCACGGCTGTAGCAAACGTTCTGGAACCACGACTTCGCGAACTCACGCATGAGTTGGCCCTGTATAATCCCTTAAAAGGTATATAGGGCCTGACTTCCCAAACCCTAAACCCTAAACCCTAAACCCTAAACCCTAAACCCTAAACCCTAAACCCTAAACCCTAAACCCTAAACCCTAAACCCTAAACCCTAACCATAAACCCTAAACCCTAAACCCTAAACCCTAAACCCTAAACCCTAAACCCTAAACCCTAAACCCTAAACCCTAAACCCTAAACCCTAAACCCTAAACCCTAAACCCTAAACCCTAAAACCTAAAACCTAAAACCTAAACCCTTCCCTACTAAGAACCAGGGGGACGTAGCAGAAGCGGAGGAGGGCAGCGCCACCATGCTGGTGATGCAAGTGCGGAAGCGGGGCCCTCTTACATAATGGGAGCTCAGTCTCAGATGATGATGCAAGATGACTGAGAACCTCGATCCCCCTCCTCAATACATAGACGTGTGTGAGCAGCAGCGCGAGGGCGAAGGGAGTGGCAAAGCTTGTTAGAGGCATTCCTGCAACATGCAAGAAGAAACCCAGGTTTATACGTAAAGGTTTCGCCCGAGAACGCTCCGACTGGAGAACTCCAACCCGGGGGGAGTGTGGCAGGACTTCCGCGCCTCCTGCAACGCCCAACCCAACCAGACTGGCTGTAGGCCCTGGGAGGCCGGAGTTTTCTTGCGGGTTTCGGGTTTAGGGCTCAATCTGGGGGTCTACGAAGTTCGGGGTACCTTGCTGGGGTCCTTATTACAGTGGGATCCTACTATCTGGGGGTTTATATTCGGGGTCTCTTATTTTCGTAAACCCCCTATATGGTAGAGTATGGGTCCAGTCAATGGTGCTGGAAGCCTGTGTTTGGGCAGTTCTGGCAACACCCACGGGGGTCCGGATGCCAAAACGGGCTCAGTATGGTTCAATGAGATGTTGCATATATATATATATATATGTATATATATATAAGGGTTGAGGGTTGAGAGGGGTTCTCACTAGAGAGCTTGCTCCAGTTGAAGAAGTACTTCATATCCCTCCACAGAAATCTGAACTAATGATGAGAGTGAAAGTGCTTCATTCTGCTTTTCGAGGAACTCCTTGAAGGAGCCTCAGAAGATAGAAGCTGAAGAATGCGACACGTGACACATGTAAAGGCACAAAAACAGAAAAAAAACATGACCGTGAGACCCAATCTGCGATGTGCGCGTTGCAGTTCCAGGAAGACATCTACTGGGGCGGCGGAAGGTGCCCAATTCCGGGTTTAATGTTCAGGGTTTGGGGTTTAGGGTTTGTAGGAGTCCAGATGCAAAAAAAAGGTTTATGGGGTGAAAATGCCCGTTGCTCAAAAGGGTTTATAGGGTTTAGGGTTTTCGGGTTTAGGGGTTTGGGGGGTTTTGGGGTTTAGGGTTTCGGGGGCTTGCCGCGGGTGGGCTGGGCACTCTTCCGGGCTTGGCAACCCGAGGAGGGATTGGCTGTTGTAGGCTTTTCGGCCAAGGGGGGTTTGTGCCTGCCCCTCGCCCCTCCCCCACGACCGCCCTGCATTCGGATTGGGTAGTTTTTCCATAGTTGCTATCACGGTTGCATAGGTCTTCTTGTCAGGGGGAGATGCCCAGATTCGCCCCCCCCAAAGCCCAAACCCTCGAGGCAGGGAACCCAGCGCTTCGAAAATCTGTGGGACGAGCCCTACGTCTTCGCCGTGGTGGTGGATGCCAAAGGCGGGGCTTGCTCGGTTCAGGGTTTCGGAGTTGGTTTCCTTGAGATCGTAAGGCCCCCACTCTCTACTTTGCGCCGGGGCGTCGTCTGGTTGCGCAGGGGCCTGCTTTACAAGCCCCTGGCCCAGTACTTAACTCCTGACCTCCTCTTCTCCTCTTCTCCCTGGCCTTCGTTGACAGGCTATTGGATCTACCGATGGCGGCCGACTGCCAAGGACGGCAAGGAAGGGGCAGCTCGCCCTCCACAGGCTTCGAAATTTCCCAAGCATACCCCACATGTTCGCCCGCAGCGCGGGAAGCCAACTCAAGGTTTCGGCCTCCTGGTGCCGCAGGGGCCCGACATTCAGACCCTTTGTAAGTCTAATAAAAACTCGAAGCTCCAAGGCCTTAAGGCATGAAAACCCAAGAAGTCTGCCTAGGTGGTGACAGGGTGGCCTGGTGTGGAGCGTGCCTTGATGCTGTGAGTCAGGGCGGCGTGAAGTGTAGCAATGATACCTACAAGTTTAGGGTTTAGGGCTTAGGATTAGGGTTTAGGGTTTGGGGTTTAGAGTCTAGGGTTTGGGGTTTAGGGTTTAGGGTTTAGGGTTGCAGAACCTTGTCCCGGCTGGCCGCAAGAGACCTGGTTGCAAAAGAACCTTTTCTTGGCATCCAGGCCTTTGGAAGCATGCTGGGGACTGAGCCCTTTTGAAGCCTCAACTCAACTTCCTCCACCCCTTAAGCCCTGGACCCAGAGTAGAAACTTATTCCCTGGGTTTAGGCTATAAGCCCCTTCACCCTTTGAATTCCACAAGATTACTCTTGGGTCTACTCTTGGGTACTTCTCAGCCGAATTAAAACTGTACTGTACTGAAAAACTAGAGGACTTAGGGGGGCTATAGGTGCAATCATAATTGGGGTTTTAAGTACCCGTATACCTCCAAGTAGCCCCTGAAAACCCTCCACCCTAAAACCCTGGAAGTTCTAAAATCTTGAACTCTTGAAGCCCGAATCCCTAAACCCTACAACCTACACCCTACACCCTAAACCCTAAACCCTAAACCCCAAACCCCAAACCCCAAACCCCAAACACAAATCTCCAACTTGGTTTCCCCAGGCTTCCGGGCCCTCCGCAAACTCACCACGCGCCCGACGCCCGTGACGAACCCGCGAGGCCACATTCTGGCAATTTAGGGGTTTTTGAGGTTTAGGGTTTGGGGTTTAGGGTTTAGGGTTTGGGGTTTAGGGTTTAGGGTTTAGGTGTCTTTGGGGTTCGGATGTTCCCCCTGACACTCAGAGTCCTAAGAAGGATTATAGTAGGGGCCGTAGGGGGTACTAGAATCCCGATTAAGGACTGCTAGTATAAGGGGGAAACATCCCAAGTTTGTAGGGCTTAGGGCTGACGGGTTAGGGTTGGGTTTAGGGGTTAGGGTTGAGGCATGAAGCAGTCTCCAGGTTCGAAAGGGATTTTCAGGCTCTAGGGCTTCTATTCTATGGATGTTTGGGGGTGTTGGGGATTAGTTGGATCAGAGGTTTTAGAGAGAGAGGTTGCAACCGAAGCTTTGACTTCACATGTAAGCATAGGTCACTAGACACAGGGTACCAATATACCAAAGAAGTTCAGATTTGTTGGTTTACTGGTTTTGGGCGGTTCGCACCTGCACAAAGGTCTGCGCACCGACGTGCCTGGTGATGCTGCTCGGCTTTTTTTTGGGGGGCTGTTCTGGATGAGGGTCCGCTGTACGAACAGGATACCACACACGGAATTTCCCAAACCCCGAATTGTCAGGAACGTGCCAGAAATGTCTTAGAAGGGTTCTTATTGTGCATGACGGTATCTTCCTACATTACGGGGCATCGGGCCCTTTTGGGCATGGGTATCATGCCGAGGTCGAGGAGGCCCTGATCCACCAACCAAGCTGCTTGGCAATTCGAGCCCCCCAAGCTGACTATCACGACATAATGTGGAAATATTAGAATGCTCACCCGGGATTATAGTACACCCTATTATAATATCTATTGAGGACTCTTAGCATAAGGGTGAACATCCCAATATAGATTAGGCTACATTCCATATGCATACACCGACAAATCTATGTATGTAGATATACATAAATACATACATATGTATTCATGTTTTGTGGTCGCACCGTGGCGCCCCTCACCCCCCCCCCCCTCAAAAATGTCATTGCTTTGGGTGCTGGGTTTGTGGATGGATTGGATTTGGGTGGGAATACCAAGGCAGCCTTGTTGCGAATTGGATTGTTGGAAATGTCCAAGTTTTGTCACTTGTTCTTTGGGGAAACGGTCAAGGATGGCACATTTCTTCAGAGTTGTGGAATGGCAGATCTGATCACGACTTGTTATGGTGGACGCAATCGAAACTGTGCCGAAGCCCCCCTCTCCTCCCTGCCTTTAGGGATTCAGGGTTTTGGGCCTAGAGGGCTTACGGTCCCGGGCCTAGGGGTTTGTGGATTTAGAGTTTAATGTTTCAGGGTTGAGGTTTAC